CCACCACGCCCCGCTCCAGGGCCGCCGCCAGCGAGAGGCTCTCGCCGCTGTGCGGAAGGACGAGGCCGCCCAGAGCGAGCTGCGCCTGCAGCAGCGCCCGGCCGGTGTCCTGGTCGACCAGGCCCTTCTGCATGGCCTGGAACACGGGGAAGATCTCCACGGTGCCCAGGTCAATCACGCCTGCGACCGCGCCGTGGCCCTGGAAAGCAGGAGCAGACAAAGAAGCCGAATCAACGGGGCTCCGCTGCGTCTCACATACTGCACGGCCCACCGGCCTGCCATACTGAATGAACTAGGACAGGAAGCCAAGCACAGAAAGGCACACAAGCACGTCGTCTTTTGGTATAGCATGGCCTTGTGTGCATCGCAGGGCCTGATGCAGATGCTCAAGCGTGCACTCACTGCATGGTACGGGAAGTGGTGAATCCCACTGCTAGGGAGTGCTCATTTAAATATGGCCAGTATGGATCTGCAAGACCTGATTATGAATAGCATGTTCAAGGAACAGACAAGGCTCCAAATGCACAGCAGTCTAATCCACTCCAGTGTTGATACCGCTGCAGAAAAAGCTTCTGGTCCACAGGGCCAGTGTCTCCCTGACTGCTACTTCAGTTTGAGACAAAATCTATATATATAAATATAAATATCTGTGCAATTGCGTCTGTACAGTCTGAGCATGTTCAGTGGAGCCTGATCTGTCTCCTTGTTAAAAAGTTAATAAAAAGTGTGTCTGCACCCCCAAGATCAAGCAGCACCCCAAGGAGCACCCGATCAGAAGTAAACCCAGAAACTCTGAACCCCAGGAAGGGAATCCTCAGCCAGAAGCTCTAAATTAACTCTATTCTGATCCAGGATAGCCACACCCCTCTCTCCAGGGGCGGAAGAGCTAGTGGGTCTAGCTTAAATTCCACTTGACTTAAGTTAATTTAATCAGACATCCACTTAGCTTCCATTACACAAAGGGTTGCTGTGGTATGGAACAGGCTGCAGAGGCTGATTCCCCGGGAGCTGTCAAGAACCATCTGGATAAGACTCTCGGATCAATAAGCTATGAGCAGCCATGGGGGTTAGGTGGTTTGTAACTGTGCCTGCTGTGAGCAGAATTCACTTCCCTCTGAAATCCTGCCAGGAATCAGCAGTGAAACCTGACTTCAGGCTCCACAATAAATCAAGACCAGAGGACACTAGAGGACACAAGAACCTCAGAACCTCAGAGCACCTGGGACTGATATCAGGATTCCCAGGTTCCCCACTGGAGAATACTGCCCAACCCTCCTGGCAGAGAGGAGGGTAACGAGGAAGCAACATAGGAAGCCCGTGGGGATTTTAGAAGACCAAATGCTCAAATCCTCAGCTCATCAGACAGCAGAGTCCCCTGCCACCATACTGGAGTCACTGGTTTGGAAATGTCTTGCTCAGGAGAAAGAGTGCCACCTACTGCTCCAGCAACACCATTTACAACAGCAGCCTGGCTCTGAGAGCTGACACGATCAGGCTACAAGGCGGCAACGCTACAGAAACCGGCGGCTGATCGATCACAGGACTGCCCCCCCTGCGATCGTGATCGGCCTGGATGAGAGACCGGTGCTGCGGACCTTGGAGATGCAGACGGAGCGGCTGTGATCGGAATATGAATGGGCTCGTGTCCTGGAGGAAGTCTGGAAAGCGCCGAGCATGCAGCCCTAGCAGTCAGGTATAGAAGCCGTGACGCGAGGGGTTCAGGGAGAGGAGGTGGCGGGAGATGGAGAGAGCAGTACTTACCGCTGCAGGCTGTCCTGAGACGCGCACACACTGACAGGCCACAGGCACCGCGGACAGCGGCGCCAGAGCGTGAGAAGCTTGGGGTTAGCATCCAGCATGCCACACAGACTGACTGACTGACGCCCTGACTGACTGACACTCAGACTGGCACCCTGACTGGCTGACACCCTGACAGACCTACTGACACACAGACCCCCTGACTGATATAATTAC